AACGTTGAAACGTATTCTGCGAAACGGGTATGCAGGACTGTACGATACGGATATCGGTTTCTATTAGGAGCAAATGCCAAAACCGATATTCGTTTTGTAAGCTACGGATTTTTTTTAGAGAGTATACACAGATAGAGTTATATATATAGAACGTAGTCAAATCTTTTGTAAATGGTGCGTTTACATAGGAAATGATTCAAGCAGTCATACGACATGTTCCGATCTTTGGTTTTGTTTGTGTCAAATGGTTTGGACTAAGATAATTTTGGTTGTTGAAATTGTTATGTACATCAATTAACTGTAATGGTCGTTTTGAAGTTGTGTCCTAGACGAATAATGTTTGTGTTGTTGGAGAAAAGTTGCAGTTTGATTTGCATATATATCTAGAATATAGATTAAAAAGAATGAATGAATCACATAGGAATAGAAAAGAGTGACACTATTATACAGGCATAGATAATAGGAATATTGAAAATAAAAGGATTGAGGTGAAAAAGTTATCTTTATCAAAAAATGAACAAGATTATATTATGATCAAGATTTATTGTTCTTTTAATTCTTCCATTTTGATAAGTAGTTCTTTTGGTGGTTTCTTGTGTATGAAGAATTTTGCTAATGTGTCATTGGTGTTGGCTACGAGTCTCATTTTGACAGTCTCAGCAGGTGATCCAGGAAATGCATAATACTTTTTCCACCATTTACCGAATAATTTTGGAAATCCGCTATCAAATATGTAACGTGGGTACATTACTGAAGTATCCCAGATCTTTGTTTGTAAGACTGCTGGTGATCGAACTGGGTCCTGCAGCATTCCTTGACGTTGTTTCTCATTTCGTGTTGGTTGATAAAGTAATTTATGGTGTAAGTCTTTGTAAGCATGTGGATCTAAAGTATTAAATACATTTATGGCATTGTTGAGTCGAAGGAATCGATCAAAATGTTTGGAAAGATAATTTGGTGGATAATGATTTAATAGTAATGACATTTCAATACGAACAATTTCTGAATTAAAATTGTCGACATTGGAACAAATACGTGCAGCACGTAATAGAGCAGCATATGGTATATTGCGATGAATGTGACGTGGATGATCGGATGTATATGGTAGAATGTGTGGTTCAGTTGTTGGTTTATGAAAAATAGATGTTATTAATTGTCCGTTTTGATTCATAATATTAACATTAAGATCGTTCACTGATGTATCTATGGTATATTTAATTTGAATATTGATATCTTTCTTTTGTAATGCTTCAAGTATTTGATTAATTTCATCGATAGCTTGATTTGTTGTCATAAAAAGATCGTCCGTATATCTAGAGGAAAGAATAAAAGAAAAAGGAAAATACAAAGAATTGTTTATTTAAAACAAACAAATCTTCCACAAATTTCGTTACGTGTAGCTTGATATTGAATTAAAGTTTGTTCCCATTCGAACATGTAAATATTGGCATAGACTTGTGTAAATGCAGAACCCATTGCTCCACCACGAATTTGTGTATAATATTTATTATTATACATAAAACAATTGGTATCCAAAATTACACGAGCCATATGCATAATATGATGTATTGCAAACGTGCCAATTTTACCACGATGCGAATATTTCTCTAGGAATTTCATCAATGCTTATAATCCCCCTTGTCGTGGTATCATTGTATAAAGATTTTTGACATCGCTTCATTTGATAAGAAATCTATTTTTTTGCAATTAGAGAAACATGGACTCACTCACGAAAAAACATGATCTTCTTGTACACAAACATCAATCCTTTCCCGAAAAAACATGAAGCTCCTGCGGAACAAACACCGATCTTTTCACGAAAAAACATGATCTTCTTGAGGGCAAACACCGGTTGGTTTTTGTCCACAAGAACATCTTGTTTTTTCGTGAGGGAATCGGTGTTTCTCCACAACAACTCGATATTTGTGCACAAGAACATCATGTTTTTCCGCCAGTGAATCCGTGTGTCTCGTGAAGGCTTTTCGTCATGTGGAGTCATGTTTTCGTGAAGAGATTTGTGTTTGTCCACAAGAACATCATGTTTTCCTGTGAGTGAATCGGTGTTTCTCCACAATAACTTCATGTTTCTTCGTGAACACATTGGTGTCTGTCCACAAGAGCTTCATGTTTGTTCGCGAATGAGTCGGTGTTTGTGCACAAGAACTTCAGCTGTCTTCACGAGAAAACATGAAGTTCTTGTGGAGAAACACCGATTCAATCACGGAAAAACATGGTGTTCCTGCGGACAAACACCAAAGTCTTCCGGAAAACTCATGATGTTATTGTGGACAAACACGAAAACACGCGTTCTTGTGGCCGAAGACCGACTCATTTGCGAACAAACATGAAGTTATTGTAGAAAAACACCGACTCATTCACAAACAACGATTTCGTCGCGAAAAAACATGAAGAACTTGTTGAGAAACGTCGGTTGACCGGCGAAAAATCATTGACTTCCTGTGGACAAACACCGATCTTTTCTCGAAAAAATCTGAAGTTATTCGGGAAAAACACCGATTCACTCTGGAAACACAGGAAGTTCTTGTGGACAAATAGCAGTCTCTGCACGAAAAAACACGAAGTTCCGGTGGCCAAGCACCGACTTACTCAGGAAAAAACATGAATTTCTTTACTCCGCAAAAAAGATGAAGTTCCAGTGGAGAACGACCGATTTACTGGCGAAAAAACATGACGTTCTTATGGAGAACCACCGACTCAATTACGAAAAAACATGAAGTTCTTGTGGCGAAACACCGATTCAGTTACGAAGAAACATAATGTTGTTGTGGAGATACACCGATTTCGTCAGGGAAAAACATGAAGTTCTTGTAGACAAAGACCAGTGTCTTCACGAAAAAAAAAGTTCTTGGTACCAAACACCGACTTACTCAGTGAAAAACATGAATTTCTTCTAGGGAATCGCCGCCTTATTCACAAAAGACATTATGTTTTACTGCACAAACACCGATTTCTTCACGAAAAAATATGAGTTACTTGCGGAGAAACGTCAGTTCACTCACGAAAAATGGTGATGTTCTTGTGGACAAACTATAATCCCTTCACGAAGAAACATGAAGTCGAGTCGGCAAAAAGGATGAAGTTCTATTGGAGAAAGACCGATTTCTTCGGGAATAACATGAAGTTCTTGTGGACAAACAGCAATGTTTTCACGAAAAAACATGAAGTTGTTGTGGAGAGACAGCGATTTCTTCTCGAGAAACATGAAGTTGTTCTGGACAAACGCCGATTTACTCAGGAAAAAACATGACGTTTCTGTGGAAAACCACGGATTTACTGTGGAAAAAACAAGAAGTTATAGTGGACTAACACCGATTCACGCACGATAAAACATGAAATTCTCGTGGATATCCACCGATCCCTTCAGGGTAAAACATGAAGTTCTTGTGGAGAAACACCGATTCATTCACGAAAAAACATGAAGTTCTCGTGGAGAAACACCGAGTTCTTCATGAGAAAAGATGCATCTCTTGTGGAGAGCCATTGAGTTTTGAGCCGAAAGTATGCAGTACCAGTGGAGCAACATCGAGTTTTGAGCAGGAAAATGTGAAGTTACTGTGGACAAACATCGAGTTCTTCATGAGAAACGATGATGCACTTGTGGAGAACCATCGAGTTCTGATCAGAGAAGATGAAGTACGTTCTTGTAAAGAAACATCTTGTTTTTCAGGAGAAAATAGTAGATTCTTGTTGAGAAATATCGAATTTTGACTCGAAAATATGAGGTAGCAGTAGAGAATCATCCAGTTCTGAGGAGAAAAGATGAAGTTTTTATGGCGTAACATCGAGTCTTCAGCAGAAAATATGAAGATACTGTGGAGAAACATAGAGATTCGCAGCAGAAACGACGAAGTTAGAACCATCCAGTCTTGAGCAGAAAGGATGTTCTTGTGGCGGAACATCGAAAGACGAAGTTCCGGTGGACAATCCTCGAGTTCTGCGTGAGCAAACACGAAGTTCTGGTGGGGAAACGTTGAGTTTTAGAGCAGAAAAGTCCCGTTGGACAAACCTCAACAGAACAGAAAGTTATTGTGGAGAAACACCAAGTTTTCGAGAGTTTGTGAGCAGAAAACATGAAGTACTTGTAGAGAAACATTGAGTTTTTCAGCAGTAAATATGAACATTTTTTTTTTGTATGTAAACACACTTTTAGTTGGTGAATATTGTTCATTTCATGAACAACTACTGAAAGATAGAGAGCTGATACTGGACACAGTTAAAATATTAGATTTGATTAGTGAGAATGTGGATATAAATTTTGGAAAAAGAATACTATTGAAAAACTAATTAGCGAACTACTTGAGCGAAAACTATCCGCATGGGAATTACGTTTGGGTCTCTATCTGTATCTCAAATTTTGGGTGTCTAAATAAGAAGCACAACAGAAGTTTTCTCTGGAATTTAAAACAGCAGCCGCTAAACCTGTCTCGCGTGTAAACTTTCAACTTTCTAAAAGCAGCCTTATTTGATTATGGATATCGAGGTAAAATAAAGAAAGGAGAACAGTAAGCTCACTAGACAAGACGTTTTTGGAAATTCTTATGGAAACCTTATCCGAATCTTATAATAATCTTATTTAGGAAAACGCTCGAAAGTGCCACGAATTTCGTAAGAGTCTTATAAGAATCTGATAAGAGATTTGTAAGTACTTCGTAAGAAAGTGATAAGACTTTTCACGTTATTCTTGTTTATTTTGATGTGTAGTAATGAGTGTAATAACTTGCTATCCGATAGTGACTCATGTGAGTACTAGGTTCTTCTGTGATAGCTTCTAGTGCTTTATTAGGACAGGTATGCAAAGAATTTTGATGCATACTACTAGTACTCGAGCTGCTCTATCTTCTACCACGTAGAGAGTCCGAATTGAATGCCACCTTTATAGAGGAAAAAAGATCGAAAGCGTTGCTTAAGATCAGTTTGAAAAAGCGGAATTTATGCAAGCAGGCGAGATATCCTGCTCTCTATTTTCTTCGTATGTAATTTAATTTTTTTCAAACTTTATTCTCGTCCCGCAGTGAAGAGTACCGTCAGTCTACAGGCAGTAGAGGCTTATATTATATACACATATTAAGAGGTAGGTCTCAAAGACCAAAAAAAAAAGAAGCTTATATTAAACACATTATAAAGAGGTAAGGCCTCGTGCCAAAACTCATAGCATCATTATTATACACATTTAAAGAGAGATTAGCTTATATAATTACACGAATTAGTAAGAAGTAGGTCTCACGATCGCTTATATTATATACACATATTAAGACTGTTTGGCGTGATTTAAATTTAACTTTATTTTATTAACATTGGTCCATTGGCTTATATTCGTCACATTATAAAGAGAAGAAACGATATACTTATATACTGAAAGAAAGGGACACGTGTATTTTGTTTTGTTCTTCTATAACGTGATTGTACAGACGGCTTTATTGAATACACATATTAAAGAGATTACTATTACGAATTATTATAAAGGGACAGTTATTATTGCCGTCGTAGCCTAGTGTTAGGAGACACTTTTCCCATACATGAGCAAGAACCAAGTTTTCTGGAAATGATCAGTTGCAACCGTCATTCGCCTATGTGTTTCTTATGTTAGTTCTACTTTGTATCTATCTGTTATCTTTCATT